TGAACTCCTGCCCAGGTAGTAGGGGGTAAGAGGACCCTACATGACTGGTATCTTGCCACTGGCCACAGAAGCCGCCCCCACTGGAGTGCGCCCTCTACTGGAGGGATGAAGAGACCTCACGGTTACAGCCCTGGTATTGTGGCGGTGAAATTAGGCATCACAAATTCGCTGAACTTTTTGATTTGCAAAACTTCTGTTTGAAAATGTGCAATTAAAGGAGAGGAACTGAAAGATGAAAGAAAATACTCATGACTTCAAAACAGATCCAGACACAACAATTGGTGCTTTGCAGGCATATCTGCTTCACCTTTTAAAAATTTTTTTTAAAGATTTTTTTATTTATGCATACAAGAGCTGGGGTACAGGCCAGAGGTATGGGGGGTTGAGAGGATCCACCAGAGACAAAGTGGGGAACAGAACAGGCAGATTGACCGAAGTACACTGCTGAGAGGAGCAGCAGGAGAGACAGGAGAGGACTGCTGCGCCATGTGGGTTGCTCCCTGGCCGGCCTGGGGATCGAACTTGTGCTGCAGTGGCTGGCAATAGCTTGATAGTGCTATCTTTAACCCCTGTTCCACCAGGGAAGCCCCTTAAAAAAAAAAAGAAAAAGATTTATTTTATTTATTTATGCATACAAGAACTGGGGTGTAGGACAGGGGTGGCTGTGTGTGTGAGAGGATTCACCAGATACAGAGTGAGGGGCAGAACAGGTGGAACTACTGAAATACACTGCTGAGGGGAGCAGTGGTCAAGGCAGCAAAGGTCTACTGTGCCATGTGGGTTAGTTCCCTGGCTGGGGATCGAACGTCTACTGCAGTAGCTGGCAGTAGCTTGATAGCACTGAGACTTTAACCCTGGTGCCACAGGAAGGCCCCCTGATTGAAAGACAAATGCCAAATGTGTGACATGATGCCAAAAGACATCCATCTAGCAGGCCCTGTGGGTGTAGAGCATGCTTAAGAATCCACTATGATGGAAACCATTTCATTCTCAAAATTTTTTCCTCCTCTCTCTCCTGTTATTGGTAGTTTTGAATGTTAGCTCATTTCCCCCCCCCCCAGGGTCAAATGGCATGTAAGTGTGTAGTTGCAAGTGGGTATATGTGGGATAGAAATCAAGAATTGGCAGGTACAACCATTTAAGGTAGCAGTTTTTGTTTGCATGTGTGTTGGGAGAGGTTTTATGGTATGTCCGCTAATTTATTTTCTATTAGCCTGAGTCACTGCTTCCCTGAGACTAAAGCTCTCACCTCAGAGCAAATGCAGGTCCTTTTAGAAGGCTTCTAGTTCCAAACTACACTTAAATTAGTACTTTAATAAATAATCTTGATTTCTTTCAAGTCCAGGAAAGTAACCCTATATATTAATGCTTGAAGGCACAGCAAGGAAGGGATTTTTGAGGATATGAAATATACGGATGTTATAGGCACATTTCCTATCTGTCAGAGTGACAAGAATAGTGCCTATAAATCTGGGGAGAAAAACATCACTGCTTCTTGTGGCAGCTGTGAGCCAGCTGCTGATGACTGGTTTTCCGTGGGGGATGGTTTCCCTCGTGTGTAGACACATCGTGCATCCCAGCATTTATTATTAAGAAAACACATTGTCTCCCTGGGATCTCTCCCAGCATGGAGCTAAAAATTGGAAGGAGCATGTTGCTCACGGCACTCCTCGCCAGCTCTTCCTAAATGTAAACACATAAGACTTATGGCAGAATCAGGGCTTCAGATGAGCAATGCATGCCTGTTATTACCCCTGGCCCCCAGGGAACAGCTTTCACACCTCATGTTATTTCAGGGAAGGTGAAAGGGTGTGCCCTTCTTCCTTCTCTGTTACACTCTCCCTTGAAGCCTTCCTCACTCTCCCAGGAAGCAGCAATAACCTCTGCTGAGCTGCTGGAGCCCTCCCACTTTATAACAAAAACTACTTTTGCTTCTGTCCCCCACTGCTGCTCTATCAGCTTCCTAACAGGAGGGACTAGGCTTTATTTATCCCCATCAAAGTCCCCAGCTGGGTAGCAAGCTCTTGGAGGTTAAGTAGTCACACTTGGCTGAGTGGATGGATGGAGGAATACAATAGAGGTACAAGAGAGAGACCCAAGATCCCAGCTGCTGACAGGGCTGCACCCTGGTGTTCTTTTTCTGGGTCAAAGATATTATTTGCTTCTACCTCTCTATCCTTTCTACAGATTCTGTCTCAGCAGCTGAAAGCACACAAAGGAACAGTGTTACTTTCAGCAAATAAAAGTGAGCGATGGAAAATACAACGCTTCAACCTGGAGCGCAGGCAATGGCGGGCTGAATGCAATTCCAAATCAAGAGAAACTGCTTCTTGTCACTGAAATGGAGTGAAGTCCTCTGGGAAAGATTGTTGCACCCATTTCTGGGTGACAGTGTTGACCAAGCCTGTGCGCTAAGGCTCAGCATGCCCTCTGTTGGATTAAGCTGGTATTTAGTAAGAGAAACAGGAGAGAAACTTGTTGATGCAGATTATTTTTTGGACATAGGTACACAGGGGGAGGGCCCTTTCTGCAAAACTCTCTGCTAAGAACACATCGAATGAGTCAGAGGCATATTCACTGGACTATCCCTGGGACATAATTTGACTCATCCGCAAACACTGTCATTCCTTTTTGAAGACTGGAAATGCTTTCCCGATGGGAAAGCTAGAATGATGTGGACTTCATTCCTTGCAGCAAGCATGCAACCACAAAAGGCAAATCAATGCTATAACTCCTCTTCAGCATCCATTGCCCCACCAAGTGAGGTGTAAATTGTAATTTTGAAATTCTAGTTAAGTATAATACATCTATGTATCAGAAAACACGGCAGCTCTACATGTACTAGATGGAAGAGAAAAAAAAGAAAAAGCATATGCTCACACAAAGACGTTCTATAAAAGATTCCACAAGAAATTATTAATAATACATCTCATTGACAGACCTGGCGCAGACACCATCTGTTGCTAAGGTTTTCACTACAGATACAAGAAGGAATGGAGGAGAAACCACGAATGCCATGGAAACATGGGAGGGAATTTTTGCAATTCAGATGGATAAAACTTTGTATACAGCGAAGGGTCTGTTTTACTCCAAAGAATAATCTAAAATTGAACTTTAAAAAAGGAAAATAGGGGCCTCCCCGGTGGCGCAGCGGTTGAGCGCTGGGTTGCGAAGCTGCCTGCAGCCTCTGCAGCGCTGGTTCAATCCCCACCTGCTCCCCGGCCACTGGAGGAGGGTCCCGCATGGCGCGCAGACCTCTCCTGCCGCCCGCTGCTCCCCTCAGCAGTGTACTTCGGTCCTTCTGCCTGCTCTGCTCCCTGCTCTGGCTCTGGTGAATTCTCTCATCCTCCCGCGCTTCTGACTGTACCCAGTGCTTGTATAAATAAATAAATAAAATAAATCTTTTAAAAAAATAAAAAATAAAAAGGAAAATAGTAACAATTGCCTACTGGGAGAGAAATTATTTGCTGCAGACGAAGGTAGAAGGAAAACTTTTTTCTACTACATTTTTTGTCTGTTATTCACAATTTATATCTTTCACCTCACCTGTTAAAATATCTAATCAATTTTAAAATAATGTAAAACCTTTGAATATCCAGAAAGATCCCATATTGCCATTCTTCTTTTTCAAAAAGTCTCATCAGTCCTCAGTGGAAGGAATTTTAAATGTTATAAATGTTACATTTTCTCATAAATTCTAAAATAATTTTGTAATGTCAGTTCTAGCATATAGCATATATACATACATATGATTTTATACAGCAGTTCATTCTATTTAAATTTTAAACAAAAAAAGTCACTTGTTCCTGAGAAAACAGCTATGGAAATGTTAGGGAAAATAATTTCTCCAGTAGTTTGGGGGCGCTTTTCCAAACAGTGAGTGCTCCAGCTTCTGTCTGGGTTAGTGGGTTCTCTGACTGGATTGATAGGAGTTGATAGGGGACCTATCAACTGATAGGGGTCCCCACAAAGTAGCTTTTCACTCTTCCAAGTGATAACGCATGCACGCCAGACTAGATGTGACCTTTTGCCAAGACGACCATCTACCCAGTTGGGGAAACCTAACTTGGTTTCCTAACCAGGGAAAAGGGTTGCAGCTTTTTGGGGGAAAGGGAGCTGGTGCTGATCCAGCCAACTCACAGCTGCAGTGCTGTGCCAGCCAGCTCCAGAGGAGGACAGGCTGGACTTTTTCCCTGGACTTTGGAACTAAGGGCCCATCTTGGTCCTGCTCCTTGCTACTTATTACAGTTGAAGATGTGTTTGCAGTTAATTCTAAGGCCGGCAGGCTCAAGAATCAACTGTGGGAGGCCAGGTCTGTCCCTTCTTGCCCCTCCCTGTCCCAAGGAGGGCTAAGAAAGCAGGAGGCCAAGTAGGTACTAGGTTTGAGGGCCAAACCAACACCCACCTCGGGGTAACTTCCTCTCCAGATGCTTCATTCCCAGTCAAAGGAGGAGGTGGGATGTGATGAACTCTGATTGCTGAAGCTAATCTGAGATCTGGAGTCATGGCCACTCTCTGGGCTCAGGGTCTGCTAAGCCTCTGGGGAGGGGGAAACGCAGGGAAAGGCGGTTTTTAGAGAGAGGGGAGACGTGGGTGCGGCTTTACTTTCTATTGTGTTCCCTTTCAGAACCCTGATTAGCTAGGATAATTCTAAGTACCTAAGAAGCCTGACAGCCCCTCACCACCAGCCCCACTGCCAGGTCAGTAAGTTCCCCTCTCTTTCGCTTCCCTACAAGACAACCCTCCCCTCAAGCGTTCAGGACAGTGGCTGGTAACTTGACGTGTGTAGGGGAGGGTGTGCGTGTCTGAGGGCCTTTGGAACCGCTCGTGGGAGTCATGGATCTCTCTCCTCTCGAAAACTGGGCGCAGGAAATACATATTTTGCATATAATTTCAGGAGTTCGTTTCTCCACCTTACTCCAGCTTTAGGACTTAAAAACACTGAGGTGGGTAAGAAAAAAAAGAAAGAAAGCGAGGGAAAAGTGGAGCAAAGCCCTGGGACCTGTTTTCCTGTCCCAGCGCACATTCCTCCGCCGCGTCCCGCTCCCGCCGCCCCCGCTGCCAGCGGAGGCCCTAGACTCGCGCTCCAACTATTCCAACCATCCTGGGAAGGGTGGGGCGCCGGCTCTCGGGCCCCCCTCGGCTGCCCCCCCTCCCCGTCATCGGTCTCCCCCTCTGCCCGGGTCCCTCCCTTTCTGGGCCTACGCCAGCCAATCCGCAAGGAGACTCCGGGCTTGGCCCGGGAGCCGGGGAGCTCACCGATCCCCCGCCCCACAGTTCTGGCGGCCGTCCCGGTGCGCACGGACGTGGCTCGAGTTTCCTCCGCTCTCCGGGCTCCCCCTCCGCCCTCTCTTCCTCTTCTCCGGGTCTCCCGCTCCGGCTACAGCTCCACCCGGCCGGTCCCACACGGCTCCGGGTAGCCATGGAGGACACCCAGCTCCATATCATCGAGCAGCCGCTTTCGGGGTACCCCGACGCCGGGGACTCGGGGTCCTCCCCCATGGGGGCGCCAGCCGCGGAGGAGCCGTCGGGGGCCGGCTCCGAGGAGCTGATCAAGTCCGACCAGGTGAACGGCGTGCTGGTGCTGAGCCTCCTGGACAAGATCATCGGCGCGGTCGACCAGATCCAGCTGACCCAGTCGCAGCTGGAAGAGCGGCAGGCGGAGATGGAGGGCGCCGTGCAGAGCATCCAGGGCGAGCTGAGCAAGCTGGGCAAAGCCCACGCCACCACCAGCAACACGGTGAGCAAGTTGCTGGAGAAGGTGCGCAAGGTCAGCGTCAACGTGAAGACGGTGCGGGGCAGCCTGGAGCGCCAGGCCGGCCAGATCAAGAAGCTGGAGGTCAACGAGGCGGAGCTGCTGCGGCGCCGTAACTTTAAAGTCATGATCTACCAGGTGAGCTGGCGGGGCGGGCCGCGCCCAGAGCTCCCGCGTCCGGCCCGCGGTCCCGGGCCCCGGGCTTCCTGGGCGGGGGTTGGAGGGGGGTCGGGGACCTGCCAGCGGCGCCGCTCTCCCGCCAGCCTGGCCCGCCTTGGGGACCCACCCTCTTCCCGGCGGGCGCTGCTGAGGTGGGGTGGCGTGGGGATCCCTGGAGCGCACCGAGGGGCGCGCTTCGCGTCCTGCACCTCCTCACCCAGCTCCCCCCCTCCTGTGTCAAACTCCTAGCGGGACCGAGTTAAGGGGTTGGACTCGGCCCCATTGCCTCTCCCAGACCACTCCCAACTTGGCTCTGTTGAGCGTCTCTACTTGGGAGAAGTTCTGGGGAAAGCCAGGGGTCCCCGGCGGCCCTTGGGGCCCTCTGTAAGAGGACACTGGCGGCAGAACCCGGGTTTGGGGCCTCCCGCGCTGCCCGCCCGATATAGCGGGTGATTCAGGGCTCAGGCACGCATGGGCGGGGGCTGTGCCAGGCGAGGGACGCGACCGCCAGCGCACACACACCCCCGCGGACCCCACGCCCCCGCAGCAGCATCAGCTGCCTGCCCCAGCCCCTCGCTGCCACCTGCCCTGGCCTTGGGGCCCATTCGGGCCCTTAGACACACTCAGGCCTGGGCGCGCGCGCGGTACCCTTGACCTGATCTAAACTGGCGCGGGGGCGAGGGGAGGAGTTGGCTGCGCGAGGAGGATCTGAGGGGCTGCTGAAGGGAAGGGGGCAGCCGCTCCCAGTCCTGCTCAATGAATCACCCCGTTTGCCCGCGAGGGCAGCGGAGGAGCGAGGAGCTGCTGGACTGGCGGCTGGAGGTTGGCGCTCGCCAGGCTCCACCCAGGCCGCCTGTTGCTCTGTTGCACCTCTCCCCAGGCCTCCCGCCTGATTGAAGTGAAGTTTTTGTTTCATGACCCCATATAAACCTGGGAATCTCAGTGTTACCGCTCCCTTCCACACCTGCGCCCCGATCCCATTACGGGTGGATCTGTCCTCAGGGCCCGGTGATGTTTGATCTGGTGAGGAAGTGTGTCTGGTCTCCCCTGTCCTCTGTTCCCTGCTGCCTGGTTGGTGTTGCTATCCCAAGGGGGAGATCATGGGGTAAAGGGGTTAGTTTATGCTCCTTCTCTCCTTTCACTTGTCTCCCAGGGAACAGAGACTGGTTAGATTTCTCCCACCAGTAAGGAGAAGGCACTTCTCAGCTATCTGTGGTTTCCCCAGCAGTTGGAGCCTGGGCAAGCTGGGCTCTGGGTGACCAGCCTGAGTGCCAGTGAGACCCTTGGCGTGGTCTCTAGATGGGACTGAGAGGTGCAGATTGGAACAAGTGTTTGGGGGCAGTAGACAGAGGGAGGTGGCTGAGCTGACACCAGCCCAAGGAGGTGGCATGGGACAGGGGCAGAAGTGGTGCTCTCCCCACGTGCCAGGGACCCTTCCCCAGAGGCTTAAGAACCCTCCTCTTTCAGCGCTGTCTGGTAGGAAATATCTGCCCAGGGCTATTTGCTATTTCCACTTAATCTAACAGCCTGGAGGAAGCAGGATGGGGCTGTGTGAGACTTCTAAAAGCTATCTGCCCAGCTCTTATGGGGGTGGGGGTGCAGGGGACATCAAGGGAAGAAGACAGGGGTCTGGGACAGCCAGTGCGTTCTGTGTTTTCTCCAGAGCCTGGTGGGATGTAGGATTGCCTGCTCGCTCTAAATGTCCCAGACCCTAGAACTCTGCAAAGTTCTCAGCCCTAAACCTCCCTTTGTCTGAGGCTGGGAGAATCTGAGACTGACTGGTAAGGGGAAGACTTGTGTGCAGAGGCCAGCAGCCTCCCTGTCACTCCCTCTCTCCCTCCCTCTGCAGCTGGCAGGGATAGGTGTCTTTGTTGCACGTGGGGGAGGGACAGGGGTCTTGACTGTATCTGTGTAAACCAGGGCCAGTGGGGGGCAGAGAGTTGAGGTAGAAAGACTGGCTTAAGCTGGGGGCCCTGAGCCCCTAAACCACAAAAGAAATAACTAAGAACTAGCATGGCCCCCTGAGCCCAAAAGGAGCTCAGACATAAAGGGGAGATTCCAGCCACAAGGGTGGGGCTCAGGGAAGCATAACTTTCCTGAACTGCAGAGCAGATGTTCCAGGTGGTGTCAAGGGGGGTGGGTTACTCAGCTGCTGGAGGAAAGCCCAGGCTGCTCCCCCTAGAGATCCACAGGCCTGGGAAGAGAATGAGGTAAAAATAGCTCTGCGCCTTGGCAGACCTAATAGGGAAGATTGGGGGTGGCAGCATTTATGGTCAAGTCAGGCTGAAGGGTCGGATGGTTGGAAGAGCCAGCAGAGATGGAGTTGGAGAAAGGGCTCCTGGGAGGGTGCAAGCGCTGCCGAGTGGAAGCAGGGGGAGATGCTGTATTTCCCACTGCAGATGTGGGAGGTGAGGAGGTCAGGGCAGAGGGGAGTCTGAAAGTGTGGGAAGGGCCCTGCAGGAACATCTCATCTGGCTTCTAGCACCTTCCTGGGGAATAAAGGAGGGAATCCCTTGTGTGATCTCACCCCAGATTCAGGGAACTGCTAGATATAATCATTTCACCAGTCAGGTGTGCACTTGATCTCTCTCTCTCTCTCTCTCTCTCTCTCTCTCTCTCTCTCTCTCACACACACACACACACACACACACATTATTCTGAGTGACCATCCCACCCAGGATATCAGAGCCCTCATCTTGAATTCTCTTCTGAGCCCTCGCAGGCCTCAGGCATCTGACCCCCATCCACAAACTGTCAGTCAGGGCTTCATCCTCTCAGGATACCTCTTTAGGCAACAGCTAGTGAAGAAGAGGAGTGAATCCTACTGGCAGCTGGGGCTGGTGGCTGAGCGCTTCTGAGAGCCCCCCATGGATGGGATGGATCGTGGGCATCATGCACATGGGAGGAGCTGTGGTCTCTAGAGAGCCAGTTCTCCCCAAATGATTTGGATATGATTAGTTCTTTTCAGATCCAGAAAGTGGGCTAAAATGGAAATAAATGTTTTCTGGAGTAGCATTTAAAGATCGACACATGGACCCATCAGACCTGCCTCCCCTGCTCGAGAATAGGATGACCAGGAAGCATTTAAGGGATTAGGTGGTTCATGGGCATTAAAAGGGAGGAAACCAGGCCTGGAATGAGGGCCTGCTGGCTTTCCTCCCAAATTCAACCCAACCTATAGCTCCTTCCTGCACTCAGCGAATCAGGGCTACCTTGTTCCAGAAAACCCCCAACTTTTGTCCAAAAATATCCCCACCTTGGGACTCTAGTTCCTCTCACCCTCTAAAGCATGGAGAGAGTGTTTCACCGTGCCCTTTCTCTACAAAGCTGAGTTTTTATGGTTTTACCTAGCGCTAGGTCCAAAGCAGAGAGAATATTTTTCAGGGTATTCCTAAGACTAAAGGAAATCATACTCCTCTCTCTGATTTTTAATCCATAAAGATCAAACATCAAAAAGGGAGGAGATGGCACAGAGTGGGCAACTAACAGCAAGTCAGGGGGAGCTGCTGTGGCTCTGAGGTCAGCTGTGGTTTGCTCCACTTCATTGAACCAGAACGCATCCTCCTTCTGTGTGAAAGATCTTTTGAGCTGGAGGATGCCTTAGAGGTCAGCAACTTCAGCTCCTTCATTTTGTAGCTGAGGGAACTGAGGAAAAGTCCAGAGAGGGAAAGTCACCTGCTGATTGTCACACATGTGATGGGGGGTCAAGCTAGGGCCAGAACGCAGATGTACCCCTTCTTCTGATACACTCTGCTCCCCACCTCCTCCTGCCATTCCAGGACTCTGCAGCCAAAGTCAGCTAGTCCTGAACTAGACTTAATCTGGCTCCTTTGTTCTCGGAGGGAGAGAATTGAGAGCCCTGGTACTGGGACTGCTGTGTGCTGGGGTAGGGGTGGGGTGGGGTTAAGGGTGCGCACATGCGCACACACTGTGATGCCTAAAGTTGGTGGCCATTAGCTGCTTGACCTCAAAGTGCTTAAAGTAGGGGCACTATGTGGTCGCCGGGCCCATTGGCAGTGGGAGGGGAGGAGCTCCCTGGCCTGCGCAGTTATCCCCAGGCGTGGCTTTTGCGTCTGGCTGAGAGGACCATGCTGCCTCCTTTCTGCTCAGCCTCCTTCCCCTGCCACCTTTTCTCTGTGTCCTTCAGGGTTGCGACCTGTTGTTTTGTGTTTTTGCGGCCCCAGGCTTTTGCTCAACACTGTTGCTGGAGTCTGGTAGTGCCTCCAACTGTCTTTCTCCCCTGACTTCTGATTGTCCAAAGCAAAAGCAACAGCTCAGGCTGGAGAGTGGGGAGCTGCCACTGTGTGCCTTGGGCCGTAGGCCTCCGCCCATGCCACCCCCAGCCCCCCCATCAGAGAAATAGCTTGATTTATTTTAGTCCTAATTTCTCTGTGCATCTTGGTATCTGATATGCCAAACGTGGGCGGTAGAAGTGGGTGGCAAAAGTGGGTGGCAAGGGAGGCAGAAGATGGGGACATGGCCAAGGGGAAATAGCCAGGACAGATGTCCCTCTTCCATGCCTCGGCCTCTCCCTCTCCTCATCCGGGGCGGCACCCGTGCCCACCCTGCCCCGGGGAATAACAGAACTGGGATCGGCAGCTTCTGTCCATGAAGACAGTGAAATTGTCGGCCTTCTCTTGAACCCATTGGAACCTCCCCTATTAGAAGCTAACAACTGTCTCTTAGAAAATTCCTTCCCTGGGCCTCCCTGGTGGTACAAGGGGTTAAGCACCACACTATGAAGCAATCCACAGCCTCTGCAGCATGAGTCTGATCCCCGGTCGCCAGGGAGCAACCCTCATGGCGCAGCAGACCTCTGCTGTCTCGCCCGCTGCTCCCCTCAGCAGTGTATTTCAGTCAGTCTGCCTGTTCTGCTCCCCACTCTACCTCTGGTGAGTCCTCTCACCCCCACACCTCTGGCCTATACCCCAGCTCTTGTATGAAGAAAGAAAGAAAGAAAGAAAGAAAGAAAGAAGAAAGAAAGAAAGAAAGAAAGAAAGAAAAAAAGAAAGAAAGAAGAAAGAAAGAAAGAAAGAAAGAAAGAAAGAAGGGAGGGAGGGAGGGAGGGAGGGAGGGAGGAGGGGAGGGAGGGAGGGAGGGAGGGAGGGAAGGAAGGAAGGAAGGAAGGAAGAAATCTTTTTTAAAAAAAAAAAAGAAGAAAATTCCTTCCCCACCCCAGCAGCCTCTTTCCCGTATCACTCCAGCCCTCCAAGAGTATCATCCCATGAGCACAGCTGGTTAGGGGTAGAAGGTCTGACAGAGGCCAAGGATGGGACTGTGGAAGATTCTAGAGGGAGGAAGGGAGGGGGTTCAGCTTAAATGGTGTTTATTAATTCACAGGGTCCAGGTTCGTCCCACCTCTTTCAGCCCCAGGGCCCTCTTTTGAAACATTTAAAGTGTGTTCTTTTCGTCCTAAAGCATCATGTACTTCCTTCTCCTTACTCACTGGCCCCAGGTCTTTATGCCCACCACAACCTTTTTCTCAACCCATCCACACCCATTCCAAATCCCATTAAAACCCCCTTTTCCTCATCTTAGCCCAAGAAGAAGCTGACCGCACCCTCTGACCTGGCCACACCCAAGATGGTGCCTTTTGACCTTCTGCCTGAGACTGAGCCCTTTGACCTGAAGCCTGAGACAGTGCCTGAGCTCCCACCCTTTGACCAGATGCCTAGGACACTGCCCTATTACCCAGAGCCTGGGCCTCTGCCCACCCCAGGGGAGCCGCCAGCTGGTGGGGCCATTTAGGGTCTCCTGGCTCATGTGGGGCTGTGGCATGGGGTGTCACTCCAGGGCACCACCAGCTCTGCTCAGTGGGGGTCCATGCTGGATGGCTGACCCCTTAGACCCATTGCCTCTTGAGGGCGGTGATGCAGAGTTTAGGCGAATGGGGTGTGTGCAATGGGATGGTTGGTGAAGGGAAGGTGCCTCCTCTACTTCATGGTTTCTGTCTGTCGGCAGACACCATGCTGGAACTGCACCCAGCGCTGCCTTGTGTGAAACTGCATGAGACTGCATGGCTGCCATTGTCCCGCCCCTCCCTGCTTTTGCCTCATCCTCAGAGATGGGCCAGTTTGACTCCAAGCCTCTTTGGAGAAGGTCCTCATGAGGCCCTGCCCTGGGGTCTCTTTCTTCTGTGCCTTCTACTCCCCCCAACCCCCAACACAGCTGAGGAAAACATTTACCCTTATTTTTTTCCAGTTTTTTTAGAAAATGTTTTGCAAAGAGATCCCTGTTTGCCAGATCCTGCCTTGGGTGGGGCACTCAAAAGTTGCCAACTCTGAGAGGCCAAGAGCAGGACATTTTAATGGGTTCTGGCTGGGATCCTCTAGCTTCCCTAGAGCACTCTTTTTCACCTTTGTATCATGATGACCTCCGAAGGGGTCCTGGTAGGCATTATCCTCTAATGTCTCCGTCCCCCATGAAATTTTATCTATTTGTACCCTGTGCACACCCGCCCCTCCCCCCAGTCAATTTCTACCCATTTGGGGGGCAATGTCATCCCTGCTGAGAAAACTGCACTGTAGCAGAAAATCAGAATCCTGAGGTTTTAAGACTTTCCCCTCCTCCCATTCTGCTCTTTTCCAGTGTTCTCTCGAAGGGAATCCTGGGCTCTGAATCATCTCTTCCCTGTCTCCTCTGGTCTTTCCCAGGCAGTGGCTGGGGACAGAGCTGGCTAGGGCTAAGCCAAGGGAGGTCCCCACCCACAGTCATATGACATTGTCTTTCTCCCTGACAAAAATGAAGTACCCGGCCCAGGACAAGGCACATAGTAGATGGTTAACTAAATTATAATCACATAAGAATCTTCTTCCTAAGCCAGAAGGTCTTAAGTTACACAGCAGGGTAGGGGAGTGGAGTGGAAAGGCTTGGAAGTCACCCTGGGGCTCCTCTAAATTGATCCTAGACTGGTGCCTTCCTGGTGTGGGGAGCTGTGTGTGCTTGGTGGGGGCAGGAGAAGCTGTGCATGCTTTTGTTCAGACCTGGTCATTAAAGGTAACTCTGGAAACCAAGCCTATTGGGAGTGGTGGTTTTGTTTAATAAAAATGTGAAAACAGAACAAGCAGAGCCCTCCCTCCTTGCCACCCCCTGAGGCCCCTCCTTTGGCTTAGGACCTCTGCCAGGGAAGTAGGGGTGGGACAAGGGTGCTGGGCCTGTGCGCCCAGGGTGGGGGGAGGTGCTTTTGGATTGTGTTGGTGGTTGTTGTAGCAACAGGCAAACTGGGTGGGCCCAAGACAGCACTCCAGGGCCATGAGTCACAGGGGAAACCTGGCTTGGAAAGGAGGAGAAAAGAGGAAAATCCATTAACGGAAGGGAAAAGCTAAATCACAGCAGTATACCCTCTCCAGGGTCAGTCACCAAGGACTTAGGTCAAGCTGTTTCACCCCAACCCCCAGCCTCCCATCAAGAAGGCAGCTCCCCTGGTAGAAGCCATCACTGGGTGAAGCTTACAGCAAATGGGGTTATAGTTCCAGGTTACCTTCCTGGACTAGGGGAGACACCTCACAATCCAGGTAGACACTCCCCCTCACTGGAATTGTGCCCTAATCTAGTTTGAGATCTCTTACCAGGCACTAGGAAGATGGGATTGGCTATTAGAAGGCTGCAACGCCCTCCTCAGGCCTGTTCACTTCCAAGCTTAACTGGCAAAGACCTTTATCTAGGAAGCCAGAGACCAGGAACACCAGCCAGCTCAGCCTTTAGTGGGTGGGGTAGAGGGGGGCGGAGAATCGGGGATGCTAGGGGTGGATCAGGGAGACAATGTGGATTTGTTTTCCAGCAGCTGGGACTGTTTCCTGACTATTACCCACCCATTACCCTTAATCCCTCCCTAGCCCATCCACATTGTCTGAACTTAGAGAAAGGAGGGGCTCACCACCCTTTGGTGGAGTGTGGGTAAGTATAAACTGGGAAGCTGTGAAGGAAGGCGCATCTCCTTTATATCGGGCTACCAGGTAATTCTGGGTGAAGATGGACATAGAGGTAGAGAATTTAGATCTTAGGGTGTAGGAAATAGTATAAAAGACCATACGCATGTACGGGCAGGGAGAAGTGATTGCAAAAAGAGACGCAAAGGGTGCAACTGAAAATCTGAATGATCCTAAGAGAGGTTGGGACCTTCCTGCACTCAGAACAAGGAAAACACCCCTCTAATGCCTCTGTGAGTGATAAAAATCATGGGATTGGCAGAATGCTATAGAAAGCACTTGAGAGTACTAAACCAGCTATGGCAGGTGGAGACTACAAGTCCCAGCATGCCCTGTGCCAGGTCACCTTGCCTGCTGGGAGGTGTAGTTGAGTAATGAGAGCCAGAGGTGGCTTGGTGCCCAGTTTGGGAGAAGAGGTGGAGCCAGCATTGCCTCTTTGTCCCTGCTAATGCTATTGACTGGGAGGGAAGGAAGTGGGGAGGGGGTGTTCCTAGTTTTCAATGTAAACCAGGAAACTCTGGGGGGATGTTGATGGGAGGGAAAAGGAAAGAAGTTGGGGGCTGGGGAAGGAATTGCTGTAGCAGGTGGTGCAGAGCTACCAAAGGGTCAGTGCGTGCATGTGTGTGTGTTTTGGAGCAAGGTCAGTACATGTTGCCTCAAAATTTTTTTGCAGATGGGATTTTCTTACAATTCTGGGAAACAACCTTCAGAAAACCCTTTAGAAAAATTCCTTTATTCCTTTTTCTGAAGTCCCTTAAGAGAGTCTCCAAAGAGGAGATCCAGTTATGTTTTGGGCTATGTTCCCTTTCCCATTCCATGCACAGCATCCCCTGCCTTTGGGGGGGGGGTGTGGGTGTGGGAAGAAGGGGGTGACCCTAACATTCTGGAATGTTGCCATAGAGTCAAATCTTGGAAAATCTTCCTGGAATGGAGAACAGTGCTGGTGCTTGGTCCTCCCAGGGGAAGAGGGAGGAACTGGCTCCCAGCTCCAGGATGTCAAGGAATCTGGGTTTACCATCCTGTTCCTGGCCACTTGAACTTCCATGGTGGGGGGGGGGTGCAAGAATGGAAAAGTAATCCCTCCCTTCCCTTCCAAGGCAGGGAGGCCAGAACCAGAAGAAATGTCCAGGTCAGGTTGGGGAGAAAACATGTTCTTGGCTCCAAGTCAGTTCTTCCTCTTCCCTTCCTCAATTTCTACACTGGAATGGGGAGTAAGGTGTGCCGCTTGGGCAGGGGGCCCAACTTGACAGGGCAGGGATGTGGTGTGGTGGTGGAGAATGACCACTCGGGCTGTCAAACAGTATGAAGAGGACAAACAGTGTGAGCATGTGCCTCAGACTGTTCTGCAATGGTCTGAGGTCTGGGCGAGGCACCCCCTTTACCTTGACTTCAAAACACTGTCTGGGGAGCCTCCTGAGCCTGGCAGTGGACTCACCCCGCTTCTCCTTAAGCTAAAGAAACTTGCCCAGCCCCTCTGCAGTTTGGCCTGGCTGCGGCAATGTGTGACTTAGCTCACCAGAGGGCGCTCTGTCCATTGCCAAAGTTACGCTGTGTTCCCTGCACGCGAAGGTTGCGCAGTGGTTTAAACGCGTGGGCGCCGGCCAGCGACAGTATCGGAGGGCTGCAGAGGCTGGACCGAAGTGCAGTGACACTGCTGGCCAATCTCTGACCCAAAGCTCGGTCCCCGCCTCGACCTGTCTGTGCAGTTACCATCCACTCAGCACTTACCTGGCGCGCAGGAGGTGTCCCGCTCTGTGCCAGACGCCGGGGGTGCAACTGTGACCAAGCGCGGGCTGCTTATAGCTCCCCAGGAGGAGCAGCACCCTGACGCGGTTCGCCCAGCGTCCCCTAACCCCAAGCACGCCGCGCAGCCCTGCTATCTGCCCCTCCTCATCTCTTGGTTCTGCCCTCCCTGTAGGATGAAGTGAAACTGCCAGCCAAACTGAGCATCAGCAAGTCCCTCAAAGAGTCGGAGGCACTGCCCGAGAAGGAGGGCGACGAGCTGGGCGAGGGCGAGCGGCCGGAGGAGGACGCGGGGGCCCTGGAGCTGTCCTCCGACGAGGCGGTCGAGGTGGAGGAGGTCATCGAGGAGTCGCGCGCCGAGCGCATCAAGCGCAGTGGCCTGCGGCGCGTGGACGACTTCAAGAAGGCCTTCTCCAAGGAGAAGATGGAGAAGACCAGGGTGCGCACCCGCGAGAACCTGGAGAAGACCCGCCTCAAGACCAAGGAGAACCTGGAGAAGACGCGGCACACCCTGGAGAAGCGCATGAACAAGCTGGGCACGCGCCTGGTGCCCGTGGAGCGGCGGGAGAAGCTCAAGACCTCGCGGGAGAAGCTGCGCAAATCCTTCACCCCCGACCACGTGGTCTACGCGCGCTCCAAGACCGCGGTGTACAAGGTGCCGCCCTTCACCTTCCACGTCAAGAAGATCCGCGAGGGCGAGGTGGAGGTGCTGAAGGCCACCGAGATGGTGGAGGTGGGCCCCGACGACGAGGAGGGCGGCATGGAGCGCGGCGAGGCCGCCGATCTGCTGCGCGGGAGCAGCCCCGACGTGCACACGCTGCTGGAGATCACCGAGGAGTCGGACGCCGTGCTGGTGGACAAGAGCGACAGCGACTGAGCGCTGGGCACGGGGCTGTGCCCAGGAGGCCGCGCCCCCCACCCCGCACCCCCGCCTCTCCCCGCCCCTGCCCCGGTCTTTTTCCTCTGAACTTTCTCTTGCGCATTCTGTCTCGGCCCCCAAACTGGCTGAGACATGTCCAAATTGACAGCCCCAACCCGCAGCGAGCACGCCTCCAAGCTGTTAAGACAGGAGTGGGATGCAGCCTCCGCAGGGGACAGCCCGGATTGGGCATTGCCTGGATGGAAATGGAAGGGGGAGCGGTCTGGTCCCTATCCAGGTGGTCCAAGTGGGGGATCCTAAAGGAAATTGTCATTTCCAGAGTTGCCCGGGCCCTAGCTGCCTTCTCCCGGCCGTGCCTCTCACACTCACACCCAGCGCTGTCACCCTGCTCACTTTCTCATCCTGATTCCTAGAGACTCCAAAGCCAAAATGACCGTAAAAGGAGAGAGCGTCCCAAAGAGCACCTTTGCCCGCGGGGAGACTCCGGACTGGAAGGACTTGAAAGTGGCTTTTGGGAGAACCTGGGGCAGTGGGGGAGAGAGGGCAGTTGCCATGGCCCTGGATGAGGGGCGAGCACAGTCTGTCAGCTATAGGTCCCTGCAAGATAACCTGAAGCCCCGCAGAGCCCTGGAGGGGGTGGGGTGGGGAACACTTGCATGTTAGGGACCTGCACATGGTTATGGTTTTGGGAAGGAGGAAGAGAAAACAGAAGGTGGAAACTGGTGAAGGGAGGAGAAATCCTCTCAGTAGCAGCCTGAGAAACACAGGGCAAAAATCCATCTTACTGGGGTTCTCAGTGGTAGCAGGACAAGGGGAGTAGATGGTGTGAGAAAGCAAAATGATCCAAAGAGAAAGAGGTAAACGCACCTAACCCTCAACTGGGAGGCATCTGGTAACCACCCCCAGGGCCGCCATGTCTCAAAACCCAGAAAATTAGGTTCCAGGAGGGGGCAGCAGAGAGCTGGAAGTTAGGCCAGGACTGGAAAGAGGAGGTGCTGATGGCCAGGCCACCAAGCTGAGAGCTGGCCCCTTGTGCAGAGCAACCCAGCCGCTATCCTGGCAGTTTGTTCGGAAGACCCTTCCCCAGAGCTAGTATCAGAAAGTGGAAGCACTTGCCAAGACCCCTTTGGTTTTCTCGCCCGCCCGGGTTCCTGTCCTGAGCCTTCGGAGGTAAGAGGGGTGCCACTTCAGCCCGAGGCTCTGGCTTCTGTAGGTCACTGACCAGGTTCTCCCCAGGACACTTCAGTCCCCCTGTTCCTCCCGTGTAAGGGCAGCTTGTCAGAGCAAGGCTAGCTCCCCTCCTCCACATCACAGGCCAGAGAACTGAAGACATCATCCTCCTTCTCCCCCGACCTCTCTGCCTTGTCTTCCTGCTCTGCTTTTTTAGAATTGCAGCTAATTGTTTTGTTTTAGGGAGGGGGGGAGGGAGGGAGCCTGGGGACATACACCTTTTTTACAATACAAGGCTTTGCTTTTTTTTTTTTTTTTTTCCCTTTTCTTGGTTCCCTTCTCTCCTCTGAATGGTTGGAGATGAATCAGCTGAGGGAGGATGGGGATTGTGGGACAAGGTCCCTTGGTGCTGATGGGCTGAGGGGCCTGATGTGTGGGCAGACACAGTTTCCTGCAGGCTCTGGGGAGCCTCTCCTGTGACTGTGTCCTGGTGAACAGCCCGACCAATAAACCTGCTTTTCTAAAAGGATTTGTGTTGGGCTGTAATCTCCAAAGGTGCTTAGATAGGCTGCGTTGCAGAAGACTGGAGGGAGCTTGGGAGGTGAGAGAGACTGTAGACTTGCCTCACTTGCCTTGGGTGGGGGAGTTGCATGAAGGGGAGGAATATTATACCCACTTTGGTGATGAAGAAACATGGAGCTGGGGTCCTAAGCAGGCAGCCTGGCTCCACAGTCTGGTAAGGGTCTCAGTGTGTCTGGGTCCGCTTCCCTGGCATCAGGCTTTAGCTTTCCAGATACTCCTGTTACTCTACTCAGTCTGAGCTGCCCCCAAAGACATACTTCAGACTCACAGGCCTAGACGAGGTGGCCTAGGGGAGGGAAGAAGCCAGCCGCCTTTCTCGGACTGCTGAATATCATAGAGAAAGGCCTCTAGGCTTGTTAGATTGCCAGTCACAGCCACACAGCCCACAATCCTGGCGTGGGCACCCGTTTCATCATGCAGCCTCTCAGGCTCCCCGCAGTGGTTCCAACCGCCTATAGGTGATGGATTTCCTAGAACAATGGGACCACATTCTCCTGTGGGATCTTTCTGTATCAGAATCACCTGGGAAGGGGTGTCCCTAAGAAAAACAATGTCATTTCTTTTCTTTTTTAAAGATTTATTTTTATTTATTTATGCATACAAGAGCGGGAGTGCAGGCCAGAGGTGGGGAACGGGGGATGAGAGGATTCACTAGAGACAGAGTGGGGGAGCAGAACAGATGGATCTACTGAAATGCACTGCTGAGGGGAGCAGTGGGCAAGGCAGGAGAGGTCTGCTGCACCATGTGGGTCAACTCCCTGGCAGGGGATGGAACTCAGGCCATTGTGGTGACAGTGATGGAGGAAAGGAGATAGAAGGTTAAGAACCTAACTCACACAGGAGGTAGGGGTAGAAGGGATGAGTTTAATACATTAACCCAGTTATAGAAACCAAGACCCTTAGGCATCAACACCCAGATCAGGAGGTGCAACACCCAGAAATTATCAGACTGCTATAGGGAGTGTCAGGGGCACAAACCATCCACCTACAAAAATGAGCCCCTCCCTGAAGATGATAAAACTTAACACAGCCCTCACAACGGGACAGCACGCCATCTGCCCACCTGTAACTATGCAGGTGCTTCCTTTCACCAACTTGCTCCCTCCGCAGGGCAGCAGCCACCTGCCTGCCCATGACCTGTACCTGCCAGGACTTCTCCTCACTCACCCCCCTCAGTGGAGGCAGCTCTCCTCAATGCTGCCCACCTGCAACCATGCAGGCCTCTCAGCAAACCTGTCCCTTTCAGGGCAGCTCTTCCTGCCCGCTTGTGTCTATGCAAGTGTCTTTTACTATCCTATCCCTTTTTTAATAAACCCACTCTTTAAATATAGATATAGATATAGATATAGATATAGATATAGATATAGATATAGACATATAGATATACCATCTGTCTTGTGGAGAAACCAGCTGTGTGCCGCCGAAACGGGAGCTCTGGTGAAATCTTTGCCAGCATGAACCGAAGGACCCAGCACTCCAAGAAACCTTCAATAGCACTGAGGCTTAACCCCTAGGTCACCAGGGAGCACCCCCGCCCCACCCCGCAAAATAATGTCATTTCTAGGGCTGGATCCCTGCCCCCTGCCACTAGCTCCAATAAGCGGAGTCCCTCCTCCTGAGCCACACATCTCCTCTGACTCTCCTGCCCTTGCTCCCAGCAGCAAACACAGCTGAGTTCAGAGTTCTAACTCTCCCACAGAAGGTTGGCTTCCCACCAAAGCAAATGGAAACTGGTGCTAAAAATTCAGAGCCTGGGAACTTCCCTTTTAGGAAAGACTTACCAAGACTCCTTCTTCCTCTGGGATCCAAATGTGCAGCTGTGTGAAGTAGGGAATGACATCAAGACACCAGTTGTGGAGTGATAAACCCAAGGGAAACCAGGAAAGGTCTAGAATATCAGGTCCTCCTGAACTTCTCTTACCCACAGTGATCAGGCTCCTGGCCCCTCCTCCTTTGCTTCCACAAGCCACCCTCCTCCCTAATCCACCAGACTCTCAATCCCACCAGAGCTTCTTGGCAGCACCTTCCCCACCCAGTTCCAGGTCGGCTGCCGCTTTGTTAAAAACAGTCCTCTGAACAACCACTTTCCTGCTGGCCCCTGCATCAAGCTATGCCCCTTTACATCACAGTGTCAGCCGTTCTCCCAGAGTCAGAAATGAGTCCTTTCCCTCTCTACATGTGGCTCAAGGGAAGATGGCCGGTCTCTGGCATTAGTGAAATAGTTAGCTGACGACCAATAGGATCTGCTGGGCATTCCCAGGTCCCACATTGCAAAACATCTCTCCCACCAACTGGGCATAGGCTTGCCCCCCCACCATTAGCATTGTTTCCCTGAGTTAGAGTCAGACAATGATCAGGGGTACACACTCCCAAAGTTTCCTATTAAATGTGACCTGGGAGCTAAGGAAGTTCCTCTACAACCTCAGAGTGAGTAATCAGGGCTTTAAATGTTTAAGTCCTAAGTCCTTATCCCTAAGAGGTTTACTTTCCATGAGAGTCAGGAGACCCTCTTTTGTTACCTGGAGAATCTGAACTGACTTTAGGTGTTCTTTCCAACCCATTCCCCAGATTATTATATATATATATATATGCACCTACATACATAACAAGCACAATAATCTATATTGTGTGTAGTATACATATAAGTATAATAATTATATAATAACACTATAGGTATAATAATATAGTTATAATAATATATATGTATTAAAACATAACTAACAGTTTAAACACTTGCCTCAGTTCTTACTTGTATGTGTTTCAACAAACTCTTTAGTGAGTCTGCGCAGTAGAAATGAACCACATACTTTCAGACTGTGGGCCTTTGCTCAGACATTCCCTCTCTCTGATGGCCTCCCCCTTTCCAGCGCCCCTCCTAAACTGTCTTCTGCAGCTCCTCTATTATATTAATCATTTCCTTTTCAGGGATCCCTGAAGTGGTCATGTCTCTTCCCCTTCTAGAACCCACCTGAAGCACAGGTTTGGGGATGAAGGTAAGCTGACTTCCCAAAGGAAACTTGGGGTGCTGCTATCAACAGAAAGGGGGAGCGGATGGTGGCAGACACGGCAGCCAATGTTCTTGCCCAGCGATGTGTATGTGATACTGCACTAGGAACCAAGAGGCTGAAAAGGCAGCACAGCCAGCCCTTGCTTTTAAAGGGTTTGCAATTAGTGGGAGAGGCAGATATTTGAAATAGCTTAAGTGAAAAAAAAATCTTAAAGAGATGAGTCTAAGAGAGGTAAAGCAAAATGTAATGGCAATTCACTAGAGAGGGATTAAATCTGCTTGGGGAAAATGGGAAAACTGAATGGAGGAAGGGGCTGTTAAGTGGAGATTCTAAACATGGGTAGCATTTCAAATAGATATTGTTGGAGGGTAAAGAATATTTTACTTGCTCTAGCAGTGCTTCAAATACCACTGTGCTCCTTAATGCTATTTGGTTGAAAGTATAGGAAAGGGACATAGGCCAAAAGGGGAAAAGCAGCTTTCATAAGAAGGCTGCCAAGATACACCAAGGACTCCAGCAACCACTGCCCAGCGAGGCTAGAAGGAGTAGGACTGTGGGGCTCTCCAGGGACCTCCTAGAGGGACTGATGGATGGTCCTCTCTAAAGAGCTGACATTAATGGAACTCAGCTCCAAGGGCTCCCAGGTTCTATGTCTCTCAGTTTCAAATTCCCAATTCCTGGTAGAGAGAATCTGATTAAGTCAGTTAACATCCATGTGCACCCCGGATTTCATGATCTATGGGCAGGACAGGACCATGTAATCCGGGGACCCATTCCAGTATATGATCAGGGAGGGGGTGGGGAACAATTCCCAGGAAAGCAGGACATGTGGGGCCAGGCAGCATCCAAGACATACATGTTAAAACAGTTGGTACTCAGTATATGTTGATTAAATGAAAGCAGTGACGTGGTACAGGGACGGCTCTCCAGAGGAAACAGTATGAGGAAAGCAGGAAAGCAGAAGGCATGATGGAGGGACAGTTATCAGGTTGTGAATGTTAGAACTAAAAGGGGTCTTGGGCTTCCTGGTGGCTCAAGGGGTTATATCTCAGCACCATAAAGCTATCAGCAGCCACTGCAGCTTGATCCCCAGGCCAGGGAACTGACCCACATGGCTCAGCAGAACTCTCCTGTCTGTCTGGCCTGCTGCTCCCCTCAGCAGTGAATTTCAGTAGATCCACTTGTTGTGCTTCCCACTCTGTCTCTGGTGAATCCTCTCACCTTACCACTCCCTGCTCCCTTGCACCTCTGGCCTCCACCCCAGCTCTTGTATGCATAAATAAATAAAATCTTTTAAAAAAAAAAGAGAACTAGGGCCTCCCCTGGTGGCTCAGCGGTTGAGTGCTGGGCCGTGAAGCTGCCCGCAGCCTCTGCAGCTCTGGTTCCATCCCTGGCCACCAGTGAGGGTCCCACACGGCGCGCAGACCTCCCCTGCCTCCCGCTGCTCCCCTCAGCAGTGTATTTCATCAGTCTGCCTGTTCTCTTCCCCGCTCTGGCTCTGGTGAATTCTCTCACCCTCCCGAGCTTCTAACTGGACCCAGTGCTTGTATAAATAAATAAATAAAATCTTAAAAAAAAAAAAAAGAACTAAAAGGGGTCTTGTTTTATAGATGAGGAGCCATTTTACAGGGGAAGCTGCTGGGGATCCAGGTAAGTCATTCATCTGCATGGAGTAAGACTCAGCAGGAGACGCACAGAAGGAAAGTGGTCCTTGACATGCTCAGATAGATGAGTTTGCCAGGGGAGGGAGTTAGGGAGAGAAGATGGAACTTAGATTAAGGACAGGAGTACCCACCTTTAAGGAGGGGGGTCTTGTGGGTGTGGAAGCAGCTAAGTAGATGATGGGATGGCAGGGAGGGGGAAGGACATCTTGCTTGGGCTCGGGGCACTTTCGTAAACGTTATTTCAGGTAACTCTCATATCAGGTCCCCTCACCCCTCAGCTCTCCCACCCCACCCCGGCAAAGCCTGACCCCTCCCTCCGGGGTTTTGTCTCTGCAGGGGTGACCAGGATTCCCACGGGTGTCCACAGCTGCTTATCTAGGATGGACATGTGGTCCTGTCTGGGTCAGTGAAACCCCCGGAGCCAGGGGTTTAGAATTTTGAGCCAACAACCAGAGGAGCTGAACGTTTTCAGTAGCAGCTTCAAGTCAAGTCCTGACAGGGAAGGGCAGAGCTACAGCGGGACATCCTATGAACGCCCTTTGCTGAGGTTCCTGGAATTGCTGTTCCCCAAGAGTGATTATTCAACTCTTTATTAGAATTTGGGAGAGGCCTTAGTTTCCCTCCTAGTCTCCCACACCCATCCTTTCTTCTTCTTCTTCTTCTTTTTTTTTTTTTTGAATAAGCTAGTAAAAGTGACATTAGATGTAATTTTAACTTCAGAGAGGTTATGCAATTGATTCAGGGTTACAATGCTGAAGAGATGGTGTAACAGGGTGGTCCCCAGGAAAGGGGGAGGTTCCATGTTCCCTGCCCCACCCAAGGGAGGGTGGAGCTAAGCAGGAAGAGGAGAAGCGGCAGAAGAGACTAAGGAAGGAAGCAGGATGGAGCAAGGAGACCTGGAGGAGGCACATGGAGCCTAGAGACACGTGAAGAAACTG